GCCGCACTCACAGCTATTCCTTTCCAACCAATTCAGTAACCATCCTCTTAGTAGATGTACACCTTCCCCAGCTCATTATTTCATGCAAAATTATTTGTTCATTTTTAGTTTTCTTTCACAATTTGGATCCCAAACACAGAAAGGTGTGCCAAGACTACATGCCAGCCTGATTTATAAAACTACAGCTTGACAATCCCTTAACTACACGCATTTGTCACTAAGAGACAAGTCAGCAAGAAGACAAACGTTTTAAAAGGCAACTCACTCTGCCAGGGCTGGCAATAAAACAGAATATGAGATAAACAATGTTCTTTAATTTTAACCTTAAAGTCTAGCACTGAATGCAAGGGCTTACAAAGAGTGGAGGCTGGATTTAGAAGTTCATTTGTAAACAAGCAAAGCTACAGTTCCCCAACACTTTTGTCAACATAGTAAAAATTTCTCAGAAATGATCACACCTTGTTGTGGTATGAGAAAATTTTTCACCCTGGGCTTTCAGCCTGAAAAGTAAATCTTTGAGCAAAGAATACAATTAATTGATCTAAATACTGATGAATACAGACATTATCTTGCAGATTTAAGAAACACTTCTTTCCCATATTCAGGATTTGTTTAAGATGTTATGAAAACTATGTATCTGCCCTGATCAGTAAACTTAAGGAGTGTAGTAATGATTTAAAAACAAACGCAGCATTAAAACTGAGGTCCCAGTAGTTAAGATAAAAGGTAGCAGTCATTCTGAATCTGGGCTTTGTCAAATCCAAAACATTCATATTTTCATTTGCCAGTGTCATATCTGTACCAAAGAATACTACAGTTATGCAGATAAGGGTAAAATGGTACTCATTAATTACTTCCCACTGTTAAATTTAAAGGGCAATAAAACCAGTTGATACTATAAAGGATGCTTTCTTTATAAACCACAGGACCGAGCAAGGCCTATTGCTCTGCAGTTATGGAGAATCATTTAGTAGAACTGATTTACATTTGACTATATACTAATGTTGTGTGCATTTGGCACTTTCTTTACATGCTTCTCACCAATTTGCTCTCTGGGTAAAAAAAAAAAAAAAAAAAAAAAAAGAAGAAAGAAGAGAGAGACAGACCTTCTGGGCAAATGACACAATGACTCATTAAACCCTTTTAGCCATGAAGATACTGTTAAACATTTATGTCACTTCTTTAATGACATTTTCCACATCACTGTTTTTTCAGTGCAAGGCAGACATTTACCAGGGCTCTAGTTTGGTGCCGCACGTACACCTGAACATCCTGCTTATCTTATCAGCTCAGAAATTGTTACTGACACCACAACAGCAGTTACTTACACATACAGAATTAACGGTTTGTTCTGCTACTATTAACTCACGATTTCAAACAAAAAAAGATAAGCCATTTACTTGCTTTTTGAGAGTACAAATGATTGTACATGAAGACAACAGCATTGTAAAGTACCTCACACATCCCTGTAAATGTTAAATGGAAGTGTATTAGATGCTGAATTAAAAGCTAATTTAACTGAAGCATCAGACATATTTATCTTCTGTGATTCAATTGCATTTTATTGTTCACTGCAGACAAACTTAGTTTTCCTGTATGTATTCAGATCAGAGACCTAATGAAGCAAAATAACCACACTTAGCATCAAATTCTTTTTCAACTGCTTTATATTGCAGTCTTAGGTTTCTCATTTTCTTCACTTGTATTCTTCTTCTAGTCTCATAATAGTTTGAGAAAAAGTCATATTCCAAAAGCAAAGATTTATCCTTATTAGCTTCAGGCAAAAGTTGTCTAGGCACATAATGGTCCTTCTGAGCAGCTATTTTACTGTGGCTTGCAGTTGTGTTTGGTTTTCCGTTTTCAGTGTTCATGAACTAATTAGTTAAGTGGAAATTAAACTTCTGCTGGCATCTATGTGGATTCAAATAAAGGCAGAAAAAGGGCAGGGGTGAGGCATGCAAAAGGTAAAGTTCCTAAACCTCCTTTCCTCTTATTTTCTTAAAAAAAAAAAGTGCATTGCTTTACTTAAATTTAGTTAAATTGGAAGCATTTCAAGATCAACATTTTTTCTAATCTGTGGCTAACATACCTAACTTACTTTACTAACACATACAAAATTGAAGATGCTGCAACATGAAACGGTTCATTTCTGCTCTGACCTGCTAAGACTTTATACTATCAAGATATGAGTAAGTATGTGGTTGTGAGTAGGTATGTGTGAGGCAGGATGAGAGAAAGGGGACAGGAGGGGCAAGAGAGGGAAAGAACACATACACACACTACAATCCTAAAGCAGCGTAGCCTCCTTCAAAAAGGGAATGTTTCAGGACCCTTCAAAAAGATATTGTTTTAAAAAGTTAAAAAACAAGGGAGATGAAAGGAAGTACAAAAAGTTTCCCTCCAGACACATTTTCAGTTACTGATTTTCAGGACAACCCAAAGTTGCAAAAGAAGAGACTACAAAACTTCAGGTCAACCCTTCCAGCAAGTGTATCAAAGAAGGGAACAGCTGTAAATTCAACACAGTGCTACCATGTTGAGATTGCAGTTTTCCTCCAGCCCCAACTTCAGCTCAATAGAAGATCGGTCATCAGTGAAATTAAGCTTTCTGTCCCATAATTTTCTGTCATCCTTATAAAGTGTGTGGATCATAGCAAGTTTCAAATGAGGAGGTCCAGCCTCCTGAACAGTTCCACTTGACTTCCATCATGTATCTTGACTGACAGAGTAGAATGCCATTAAACACTAAACAGTGAAGTAAACTCTCTGAACATAAACTGTCTGAAATGCCTTTCTTACAACAAGGAAATGGCATTTATACCCAGAGCTAGAGGGTCATGAGTACTTCTACTACTCACGGTCTTACTGACCAAAGAAAAATGTATTTTTATATATATACACAAATATATATATAGAAAATAGATACATACAAAATATGTATTTTTAATATATATACAACAATATATATATATAAAAATATATACAATCCCAATATGTATTTTCTGTAGTGAAGTAATCTAATCAAACCACAGGAAAACTCCAATGTAAACTAAAACCAAAAGCAAACAAAGAAACCTTTTCCACATCAGCATGTCATGATTTCTATGCAAGACCTTTGGTTTGAAGTTATTTCATTTAGAAGCACACCAGATGTTTTATTTTGGAAACCATAAGAAAGTTCACCATCATTCTGAAGACTTCATTTTCTCTTACCTAATGATTTTACACCTAGCATTACACTAAGATTTTTATTTCACACCTGAGTAGTACTTACAGAAGAAAAATATTGTGTCTTTTGTGCTTGGTTTTTTCCTATAAACTACTATAGAGTCATCAATCGGTGAAAACTGACTGCAATTAGCTTCAGGCTCCAGCAGTATATATTAGTCCCTTTCAAGAGTCAAAGTAAAATTCACAAAAGAATAGGAACTCTTTAGTGTTTTAGTCAAAAATTCCAACAGCTGCACCCACTGAGTCACTCAAAGAGCAGATCAATTGTATGTTGCTGTACCCAATTTATGTACCACCACATACAGCATCTAACAATCAATGTTTCCCAAAATTGTTCAAGTGGCAATGTATTAGAAGAGAGTTTGGCTTCACAGCCTAGAGAATCAAATCTGAAATAACTAGCTGGATCCGTAAAGCCCTTTCGTTCATCTAGAATGTCAGAAATTTTGTATGAGTAAGACTACTGTGGAGGGGAGGCTTCTGAGCAGGACTTTAAAGAGAAAACATCCCCTAGAATTTGCAAAAAACACTAAGCACTGTTTTCTCCACTTACCTTTCACCAAATGGTACTTAGCTAGTATTTTGTACTATATAGCTGCATTTCAGTGGAACTGTTCATACAGCGTACAGGGCTCAATCCTGTAAGTTTCTGCACATCCTATTAGATAGGTACCTCACTAAGTGTTACCTCAATGAATCTTCAAATAAGTTGGAAATATCTGTGCACCAGCACCTGGCTTCCAAGCACTACTATGTTAGAACAAATACATGTAACTTGTTAGACATTCTAGCTCAACTCTGCAAGCAGAGTCAGATGGAAATAGCCAGACTGAAATTTTATGAAAGCCACGTGCACTTTTTCATCAAAATTCCCAAGGAATAGGGAAGACCAGTATCTGTGTGTACTCACTGTCTCTCTTTTACTTCAGTAACAGGAAAACATATTTATACTTGCTTACCCTCTTGATTTAAGAGCTAAACAATTTCTATTTAAATCAGTACAGAAGTCCAACAGACTTGAAATCAGAGAAATTTAAGCTGCTGGAGTTAACCTACCAATATTTGCATTAAGGCAGTGTCTTACTGCCCCTTTGCCCAAGCAAATTCCGTGGCTCACAGCATGCCTCACCCAGTTAGTCAGCAGTTAGGCTCCAGGTCTCACTCCAGAGCTCTCCTTGTGCCTCTGGAGCAGGAGCAGTGTTTAGAACATACCTCACCATACAGTCTCTTTGCCTCTAGGTACACCCAACTCAGTTATGATTGTATTGACCAGCAAGATTCATAGCAGTGGCCAAAGCAGAAGTAAAATTGATGATTACCTTTCCCAAAGAACAAAGCACAGAGGTCTCCAGCAGTACTTAAAACAGTTCAACGGGGACTATGTTTCTCACAGAGCTAACAGGCTACTGACACTTGAGATAACTTGAACAAAAATGTAAGCCAGAACACAAAATACGGCATGTAACATGATTTAGTGGTCAATAATAAGAGTGAGGTGAATGGAAGAGAGCTACATAAAATAACAGAAAAAATTGCCACAAAGTCACTGAAGTGACTGCTAGAAAACTGCTGATCCCTGTTTAAATGGCCAAGAGGATGATTTACAGATCATAACAGAACCTACCAATCCAGCTGCAGCAATACGTTTATCTTTCCTTCTTCCATTTTTATGTATGACACACACCACCATCTGCTGGATGAAGTACTGAACTAATCCAGTAACATACAAGGTTTTTTTGTTGTGAGAACCCCTTTACCATCATATTTACCTGAGGCAGATGCAAAACAACCTGGGATGTGTGGAGACCATATAGTGCTGTAAATGACCCCTTCGTGGCCTTTAAAAGTGCATAATGACTTCCCCACAGCTGGATCCCACTGAATAAAGTAAAAGGAAAACTGTTGAGGTACACATTCAGTAAGAAAGGGTTTCATACATAAAAAAAAGCTTTATACATACAGAAAGGACTAAATGAAATTCTTTTTACCATGTATCAAGAAAAGCATTTGTATACTTAAACTGATATCAACTGAGGGATAAAGCAACACCTCAGTTAAAACAGAATTTCAGCCTCAATGTACAAATAAAGAGGAAAAGTGAATCAATGCTGTTTCTTAACACAAAGAACTATCAGATCCAAAACAAATCACATTTTTGGTTTTCTGCTGAAGGTGAACATACCAGCTTGGCTGTTTGATCCCATGAACCAGACACCACTAGCTGCTCTCCTCTAGTTTGGCTCCAGTCAACACTATATGCCTATAAATGATATAACAGCCTAGTTTAGAAAGAGCATTAGAATACAAGTTTGAGACTCTAGTTCACCAAAGTTTCACAAAATAGACTTGGATTTGCAGACTGTATCATAATCAGCTAAAAAACCACACCAGTCAAGCACCACAAAGTTGCCAACAATGCCATTTACCTGAACAAAAATTAAATTTAACATCTCAGTCTGTCATTAAAGGTACATATAGGCTCAGAAAAGTATCCAAAAAAGTAAAGATGGGCGAAAATGGAGGGGGAAAAAAAAGTTGTAACAAAATCCACATAGACCCACCATGACTAGAAGTTTCTACCACTGTAAAAAGCCATAATTCAGATTGATTTCTTATCTCTGGTCCAATTTTATTCAAATATGTACAGTTTCTAATTGCTAGCAATGTAAATGCCATCTCTCTTCAGAGCTGACTTTGAGGTTTTAGCTGACTAACAATAAATACTTTTTTATTATATCTAATTCTCATAAGAAATACATGCCATAAAATACTCATTTTCATCTTTTCCAGGTTCTATGACACTCTTTTTTTACCATTCATATCCTTAAATAAATAAAATAAAATTAAAAACTCAACTTCCCTCATGACTAATCATTTCAGCTATTAAGAAATTGCTTTTCACTGTGCAGTTGAAATAAGCTCCCTCTTCTCCGACAGTTTATTCTAACGTTGGTCCCCACGCCTTGACAGAGGATACCTTAACTCCATCTTTCACTGCTGATTTTTCAGCTCTGCTGCCTCAGCGAAAACAAATGCTCTGAGGTAGTTCTTCAAACTACTTCAAATCTGAAAGTCTCAAGAACATATACAACTTCCATCTTCAAATGCACCGTATCTTCATGTACATGATGGAGGGTGTATTCTATTCTATCTAGTCTGATCTCACACCAAAATGGCTCAATAAGCTGCAGTGGACATGAACCATTTCAGTGCTAAGGCGGATAAATATTAGCTGAAACAGTTTATTTGCTTCACCTCCTGACCCAATCAGACCTTCCATGACACTTCTCTGAAACGTGGCCACTACCTACCAGTAGTAGGTAGCACTGCTCTCAACAGTCGGGCCACTACCCACCAAGGATTTGTACTCCAGTTGGGACAATCTAGTTCTAGCACAGCACTGGATCTAATCTGCAAGTCAACATACTAGATGCTGTGTTTGTCTTGGATAGATGGAATTGTGCATTAAATGACAGCAACCCTGTTTTGAAAGTGAAAATGTTTGGACCTGTGTCACCAGACAAAAAAGCAGAGAAGCTGGACTGGAAAAAAATCCAGCAAAAGCCAAAGTCTTCTATGGAAAGTGTCCTTTATGAGAAAGGAAATCAAGGTATCATTTAGCTACTTCTGAGAATTTTCCTTCCTAAGAAATATTTCAGTCTATGCTACATCCAGGTTAAATTAACTGTTTTTCATCTATTTGCTTATTTCCCATAAGTGGAAGGCAACCACTGCCCACAGAAAAACAAAGTGCCTTATCTCCAACTTTCCTTTTTTATTTTACAATGTCCTGCTTCCCATATACTGAAAGACATATTGCTCTGGCACCATTTTGTGCTAACTCCCTTTCTTGAGGAGCTTTTAACCAAAACGTACAAGACACTCAGACAGTACTTGACAAAAAACAAATAACAAACTGACAGGTAATTCTTTTGTTTCTTTTTCCAAACCATGCCTTTACCTCTTGGCTTTTCTACTTTTGTCAGCTAACTACCAGTAACTACCGGCTCATTAAAACACCCTCCCTTTCAACCTGGCTCCTCCTATTAAAATAGTAACAAATATTTTAAGAATGGAAGACATCCCAGTTCTCCGAAGTGGCTCCCGAGCTCCTCACAAACATTAGCCTCTCTCCTTCCCCCTGAATCTGTGTCATGGCCTGTGTTAAACTCCTAAGCTGTTGCTGTTTGGAAATGCCCCCAAATGTGTCACTACATAGTATGCCTCTTTCACACAACAGCTCTATAAAGTCAGCTCAGTTGAAGCTTTTGGCTTTCATATTCATGTCCAAGATTTTCCAGAAAGAAATACGACTCTGAGAAATATGCACCTGTGTCACACAATTCACCTAGCCCCACATATTTGGGATGTATCAGATCTACTGCACAGATAAGGCAAAGCGCACATATGGCTTACAGCTCACTCGCAAGCTATCAGCACATAGATCTGTTGAACACGTGTTGTGACACAGATCTGCGTACATATGGCAGACATGGTTGGGACTGCCCAGCACTCTGCAGCTGCATCGGCGGCAATGGGACCTGGGCAAATTCTCCTTCGGGCAAGAACTGCGAACAGAACAGACAACAGGCTCAGGAAAAGCAAGAGCTATTTTCCGTTTGGCATGTGACAGGGCCAGGTAATGGGAAGAGAATGAAAAGAAGAAGGTGTGGAGAACGAAGTAAGGTTCACTTTCATTCTTTCCTTTTCATGCTATCATCCAACATAAATTTACAGACTCTTCAATAGAAGCTGTGTTGAGCAACTGGGAAAGACTAATAACACAGCATAAACCTTAGTTATTAATCTTTTAGTGCTTTATCTTCAATCATAAAATACATTAATACTAGTTTATGCCTAAACAGCAGCAAGAAATGCCTCAGGCAAGATGAAAAGATGATGAAAAAAAGATATAAAAACATAAAAAATAGTTTAAAATAAATGTTCAGGCTCACTTTACAGGACAAATTTAATTCAAGCATTCTATTGTCTCACATTCCAGTGAGACTTCATCAAAACCGAAGTAAATTAGACTAATTTATTCATGAGATTCAGCAGTTGGTTAGTGCTGGAATAAAACTCATTGTCCTTTGATAATAAAGATGCGCTTTTAAATTAAAAATGCACATTCTTTTTGAGGAGGGATAATGATCTCATTTAGAAAACAAGAAACAGATCCCTGTCAATCTTGCATTAGAAACTTTATAAAATGCAGTGACAAAATTGTCATTAGAAATGTCAGACAGGGATTAAGGATTAGGAAGGTAGTCAATCTTTTTAAAGAGCACTGCCTGCCAGTTTTTACCACAAACTATTAGATATATTCCCTCTGAGATCTATCCTCTTAATGCATGTTTATAAAGAATCAATACAAACCTTGTATCTCACAATACACACTCAGACTGTGTTTCCTATACTGTCTTTCTAACTCATGGTTGAATGCATCCACCTCCCCATGCTACCTGCTAAACTAAGACTTGGACACAGAAATGTTTACTTCACAAACAACAGATGGTGTAGCAGAACCAAAATAAACTTATGGACAGAATTTCAATGAGAAAACGATAGAGACAAAAAAAAAAATTGGTATTATGCTTTGCCTACATCTTTCTGTTACTACCATCAGCCTTTGAACACTATCATAAAATCCTGATCGCAACTACAAACTCATCTCTCAAAATTCTTTATTTACATAGTATATGTATTAAACCAAAGTAGCAAAATTACAAAGAAATAAGGTACAGAAGACAGACTGTCATATAACTGCCGTCACTCAGCTTTTAGCTTTGTGCTTCATATCTGAAAAAATCTTGAGGTCTTTGTGAATACAAAACTGGATTTCCTCCATCATTTTTTTATTGACTACATATCCACTAGGTTTATGTCATTTAGATGCATCACTAATCCAGGCTAAAACTGATTGCATCTAAAGTTCAAAGACTTGACAGAAATGAGTGGAGAGTTAGAAGGAAAGCATGAAAAAAAAAAAAAAAAGGGTAGAAAAATCACTTGGGGGAAGACAAATATACTAAAGCATAAATGTCCTTAAAAATATGCAAATACATTTGTGAACATTAGTATAGCATTTTTCTCTACCCATATTGCACTGCATAAAGAAACTGAGATTTTAAGAAAATCAAATGCAATGGTATGAAACCAAGGCTAAAAAAATACATGCTGTCCCAATATTTGATTACTGTTATTTGAGTAGGATCTCACAGATGCTAGGATGGAAAAAGGATAAGCAGTTCCCAGGTACAACAGAAGTCCTAAGGATCTGCATAATGTGTATCACTCTATACCTCAAGGATAACACTGCTATATACATCAGCTGTCTGATTTAGACCTATCCAATAATGCTCTCTAAAAATTACGGAATGACTGCAGTACTTTCATACAACACAATGATTACTTAGCCTATAAGAAACCACAAACACTATTTCTGAATATATTAGATTTATGTAATTAAGCGGCACCTACTAGAGCGTATGAATGTACATACAAATATGTACAACAGGTAATTCACTTTATATTCAAAATAATGTCGTTATGAATTCAAACCACGGACCCAAACAAAGTTAAAAAATTTTTGACAACAAAACCCACTTTTGAAAAAGTCCACAAATAAATCCTTTAATAATTCAAACATTAGATCATCCATTACATTTTTCAAGTTGCCTGGTTTACCTCCTGAGTGTGCTCTTTATAGACTTGCAGTGGACCTTTGGTTTTAGCTGTATCCCAGATTTGCAGAGATCCATCTCCGCTAGAAGTGATCAACACATGTTCATTATTCTCACTCCAGGTCACATCAAACAGACCATCATTCCAGTCAAAACTAAATCGGAACAATGAAGATATTTGTCCATGAGAAAGCATGACATAGAAGTCTGGACTAGTTACATGCAAAGACAGTATTTCTTTAAATCACCCTATTTACCATGCTAAACAGCATTTTTATATATTTGAGTTTCCTGTAAATCTCCTTACAAGTAACTTGTTATAATGGCAACTTTTACAACTGTATGCCAGAATAGGTTGATTAAGTTAAAGCATAAATGAGCCAAGCACCTTCCACACACAGAGAACGAAATCTGATTTCAGTCTTAAACTTGCCAGGCAAAGAGAGACAGAGGTACCACATGTCTCAGCCTGATCTACGGTTTCTCCAGGATGTTGCTACAGAGGTAGGAGCTCTTTGTCTGTAACAACTGTGGTAAACAAAGAAATAAAACTGTTTGTGTTGGGAGAGCTCTATCCAATTCACACCACCATTAGGAAGCTGAGTCACAGTGAAAAAACAACAGAAAGACAGTCATGAACACATTAAAGATCTCTACGCTCCCTTAAAAGGGCTTTCAACACACCAACAATTCCTCATACGGGATCTGATACCATATATTAGTTGCTCTGCAACAACTATCGATGACCGTGCTGTTATCTGATGGTAAATATGAATTTATTTACCCCCTTTTCACTGAAGGTTCAGCTAAGCTCAGGTTAAACTTCATGGCACCCTGCAGTAATGATGAAGGAAAGGCATGCACACAGAACGTTTTGATAGAGAAAACGACACAGCTTATGGCTCAGAAAGTTACAGGACTTTCTACCACAAAATCAGTGGAGTAACTGGAAACATAAAAATGAACAGTACTAAACCAGAGCACTTAGCAGAACTAACAGAGTGTTGAACATCTTCAACGAGTCCTGCCTTAACAATTATGAATTAAAAACACTTTCTCTGAATAGGATTAACTATTTGTTAAGCATTTCTATTTCAGGCTTCTTAATCTAAACAATTGCTGTTTCAAAACTTTCTTTAAAAAAAAATGTAAGTCAATGATGGTTAAGTATTAAACCCTCTCCTTCCTAACCTTTCTCCTTCTCCCATCCAGAAGACAAATCAAACTCCTCTCAGACCCTTAGAATATTGGATCTCCTAGGAAGGACCTCCATGACTTTACGCAGCTTCCTGCCCTATTTTCAGTGTAAGTCAATTATAAGGGCATAAATTTAGGTGGCAATGCACTGTTCCTAAAAAACTAAAACTTTTAATTTCAAGCTAGGGCAGAGAGGCTGCTTTTAATTTACATTGTCAGATTTCTATAAAATGGTTTACACTACGGAAAGGGTGCAATCCAGATTACTTCCTATAATAAAATCTATGCAATATAAACCTATCATTTGTATGTAAATACAAATGCATTCATTTGTATGTAAACACAAAGACATGTATTCAGTAGATACTATAGCACAGATACAATACTTTTTATCACTAACAATAATCCAAAATATTTGGGTTGTGTCTTGTACTCACAGGTACATAGTAAGTTTTTCTTTTGCAAAAATAAAATATAAGCCTGTGTTACCTCCTGAGCAGAACTATCCCAGCTTCATTTTGTTCCAGCACTGCCAGAGTTCCACAACCTAAACCAGGAAAATAAAACAAAACATCACAACTAGTTCCCCCATGCCAAAGGAAACTACTGTGGTTCTGAAGTACCTCCAGTGTGCAAATTCAAAGGGCATCTGAACTTTAAGAGGCCAAATAATTTAGTTGCATAAATAAACATCTTGTTGTCTCATGTTCTCTAAAACAGTAATTCATTTACATCAAATTGTTTTTTGATTTTTTTTTTACTCCAGTATACCTGTAGCTGAGGTTGGAAAAGAAACAACTCACTTATAAAGCATAAAAGTGCATTTTCCCCATGACCCTCACCTTACAGACATACCAGCACAGGGTTCCTTTTTATCTTTTTGATAACACAGCAGACATAACACTTTTTTTCCTCCTGAATCTAGTAATGCAAACACAGCTCACCAGAAATGAAACAATTCAGTTCTGAGAAAACACACATGGGTACTGCTTTCCCATATGACTGGGATATTGTCAAAGTAATTCCACATTTAGAAACTTTATTTAAAATGAATGCTTTCAGGAGCAATACTCCCACTGGAAATGAAAAAGGTCCCGATGCTGAGAAAAGCTCAGCTTGCCTCTTCAGCGGGACCGTGGAGTCGCCAGGGCCTGTCGGGACACTCGGTGACTGAGACTAGAACAGTTAAAATTTTAAGAAGAAAATCTTTTCAGACATTTCATTCACGTTGTGTATGTCTCTACTACTATATCTATTCTCGACCCCATAAAATTAGTACTCCTCTGAGAGGGTCTTGTGAAAAACACCACCAAAACAGCGGGTTTGT